AACTTTGTCAACTTCTGTGCTAATACGCAGGGTCTCACTCACTTTTTCTACCCAAGAGAAACAAGGAGCAGGCAGTGCAGTTAGCAGAAATTATTCTCTCTCTAACCTTAATCTGAAAACTCTTTATCATATAATAATAATAACCATAATCTGAAAAAACTTTAGCATATACATACTCACCTGTGGGCTTTATTTCAGGTGTTCCTACCTAAACATTTGACCTCTAATGAAGCAGCAGCCATTTGTCATATTACAGGCAGGTGATAGATGGAGTTAATCATGCAGCTTTGAGCCATTCTCTCTCTACCCATTAATCTGCCTCCTTTGGGACTTGTTCTAACAGTCCAAACCAGGAATAGGTACAGCCAGAAGAAACAGTTAGAACTTTGAAACTTGGAAGACATTTTTAACTTGAAAAGAGCCAGGAATGTACATGTGTGAACTCCTACCCCTTTCCCAACAAACATTAATGAACAGCTTCCAGCTATTGGCATTCAAAATCATCAGCCTGTTAGGGAAATGTTTCTTTCCCCAAATAGGGAAAGCTTCCCTCAAGCTCTCAAATTTATATGTGTTTGATGGTAGTGCTTAGTCCTATGCTAGTGACACATTTATGGGCTGCTATCTTGAGGGCTGGAAACAAAAATTTCATGTCTTTCCAAAAAAGAAAGCTCTCTTTCCACTGTGATATGTCATATTAAGCTCTGGCCCTGGAAGATTCCTATGTGCCAGACATCAGTTGTAACATCTTAAGGTACAGAAAACCAACTTAAAATTTCCTCTGAAGTATTATATTGATTTCGCTTCTAAGTGTGATGGTTGTACTTGTGGTATGAAGGCATCTGAATTCACAGAAAGAAGGGTGTGAAAGACTCGCAACACAGTGAAAATTCATGAGTGTGCAAGGGAAATGACAATATAGAACAGAGGCTGTCACAAAGCTAGAGAGCACAGGGCTACTCGTAGAGAGGTTCCTAGCTCTGCCACTAACCTCAGGTATGTCCTCAGGCATGGTTCTTCACCTTGCTGTGATTCCATTCCCCATCTGTAAAGTGAAGATAATAACACGTAACTTTATGAAGTGCTTCAGATGACAAACGCAACATAACTCCTTAGGGTTAACTTGCTGGACACAGTAGGGGGTGAATAACATAGGTCATTTATTGCCTCCCTAGTTAGAAATAACATGACTATTTGTTAAACTCTTTCTGTCACTTCTGCATCTCTACAGCAGCTAGATAAAGGACATTCTCCTTGTGATAAAGATGTGAAAGAATCAACCTTCCACCTGTATAGCATAGCACTATTCATAACAAGTCATTACTTGTAGTAGCAATGGAAGAATAAAGATGTTTTAAGATCTGCAGTTGTAGGAAGGAAAGCATTTACTCTAGCAGTTGACAACACGCAAGCATGCAGAACAAGCAAAATAAAGCCTACCTAGACTATTTTCTCAAGGTCTGTGTTATGATTCTTTATGTTGGAGAAGAAAAAGGAAGGTTCTCTCAGACTAAACTTACTCTTTGTATGGAGTTGCAGGATAGTCCGGGGGTTTAAAAGTTAATTGTCTGTAATAGTGAAATAGGAATTTTAGTGACCTACTGTTCTCCTATTAGACCAGAGTCCTCAGGAATAAGTGAATGACACTATATTGTTGCAATTACTCTTCTAGTACACATGTACATTTTTATTTGCCTGAGAACAGGAGTATGTGCTGGGAACAATTATGGCACTATACAACTTCCAGTGATCGAAGGGAGACTTAATCTATTTTAAAATTAGCTTCTAAACTATCCACTTGTCTAATCATAACAAATTTAGCATCTCTTTCTTGACTTTAACAGCTGAACACTTGGCTCAGGATAGGTGGGTCATTACTTCCTCATTCTTTAACATCAAGGCAAACTGGCAGTCTGTTTGGGATTTCTTGGGTCTCTTTTAAAGATATCCAGATAATCCTCTGAGAAACCATACTAGATCATATCAGCATTTCTCTAAAACTCAGGTCATGGCTCCTGTTGGTACCTGGTTTTCTAACAGTAGGTGTGAAAAGCTACAACCAAATACCTGGACTGTTATTTACATACTGTGATGAGTAAAAATTCCAAGCCCATAGTCTGGATTCTTGTGTACCCTGAAAATCCATTTACAAACCTCTCATTTACTTCTCTTGGACTGCAATTTCAGGCATTTTGTGATGGGATGGAAAACACCTTTTTCCCAAACATGGCCAAATTGCATTTTTAGCTCTTTCAGTGCTCTCACAGCTCTAGCTCCACTGAAATTACAATGTTAGTCTGGATTTCCATCGCTGTGACAGCAAGCAGAGCCTGTCTGCCAGCATATAGACAGACTCAACAGACTGAAATCTGAATGGAAAATGGGGTAACAATAGGAGTGAATGGTGCCTGAATTAATGCTATTGCAGAACATCCTCAGGTAGTGCTCAGGGTATAGAAAGAGAGATACCTCGAGAGGTGGGAGAATAATGAAAAATTAAGAGTGAAGGCATATTGGGAGATGTATTCAGGTTATTTTTCCCTAGATAAACTTTTATGTGGTTTGTCCTAAATGCAAGACAGCTTGCTGAAAGCTACAGTCTCTTCTTCCCATACCCTCAGGGTAACTTTGGCAACAGAAAAAGATCTCACATGCGAAGTGACAAAGTCAAGTATCTAACTGATCGGAAATGAACTGTTTAAATTAGAGCAAGAGCTGCAATTTGGAGAAGGAAAGGAGCCATACCCTCGGGAATACAATGATGATTTGTGCTCTTTTAAAATCCTAGAAAACCGAGAAGTGCAGATGAGCCAAGAGCTATTTTGAGAAAAAAAAAAAATGCCCTTCTTTACTCCAGGGGTCAAAGAGGAAACCATTAGGCAAAACTGAAAACATGATTGAAGGACCAGAGGCTCTGGAAAGGGCAATACTGGTATCACTGTTCATCAGCACAGAGAGAAATGATACATCACAGCTTGGTCTCTGGGGCTGTAGTGGATAATTTCCCAGTGGCTCCTCTTCCCTCTCCTCTATTCCATCAGTCCAGTCCCCGTTTGCAATCAGTGCCTAGGTCTATCCTTACCATGGGAGAGGCACAAGAGGAGCAATAAGGGATGGAAGGGAATAAAAGAGTCTGCAGCCACACTGAAGAAAGTGCACACTGTTCCCTCTTGGTTTTTGTTAGTGGTATTCCTCAAGCAGAGTCTCTTCCTACACAACTGTTTCCACAATCAGGTTTCCATCTGAATGGTGCCCCTTTGCCAGCATTTGCCAGTGAAATGAATGGCAGTAGCGCTCTCTCTGCAATATACTCTGCTCATTCTGTGATGAGGGGAGAACGTACTCTCTGTGCATTTCCAGTCTGTATCCCAAATACAGAAAGGATCTGACATCCAGGATGCAGAAGTGTGCAGCAGGCTCAATAAACATTGTGCAGGTTCAGTTACCTGAGCCAGAAGATGTGACAACAGTGGTTTTCATCTCTGAGACAGGGCAGTTCACCAACAAGACCCTGAATTTTGTAGCTTTGTTGGGGGATTCTCACTTCAAGTTAAGCTGAGACTATTTAGTTGATAACTGCAGGTACACTCATATGACTCAAAAAAAGTTTCAGGATATTTATGTAGAAACCACAAAAATGGGCTAAGAAAGAGAGAATCTGGCTTTTTTTTCTCTTTTTTATTTTCTGAGTACAAAGAAATTCCAAAACCTTGAGTATTGCAGGCAATTTACACCGATTACAAAACAAAAGAACAGTGTTGAAATTCCTAGACTGCAAATGGATATACCAGTTAAAGCTGCTCTTAGATTGCATACGTAATTTCTGATAAAACGCGGCCTAAAGACCCCAGATACTAAGAGAAAAGGAAGAACAGTTCATGGCTTTTCATCCCATTCTACATCAGCGCAATTTTTTAAAAATCTTCTGGCTAAACACCTCCCCTTTTCTCTCAAATAAATCACAGATAATGACATGCATTGATACAGTTAAATATTTATACTTTGGTGGACAAAGAAAATAGTTGAAATAATTAATAACCAGGTTGGTGGACAAAGGAAATAGTTGAAATCATTAATAACCAGAGTTCCTCAGAGTTATAAATGCCATTAACTGGCTCTCACAACCCTGCTGTTTCAAGGGGAGAGGTGACATAGAGCTCGCAGGACAAAGACGAGTGAGCATTCAGCAGGTGAGTCAAAAAGAAAATCTGTAAATAAGACCTCTAGTGAAAGCACTGATTGAGAAGTGTGTGTGCTGCATGCTGCCTTGATTTAGATGTCAATTGGATTACAGTTGCACTCATTTATAACTGGAGATTTTCTTCAAAATGGGAAGGTGTACCAGATCACTATTTCTTGCACTGTTTGCTCTGCATTTAGGTGGCAAGCAGATGCAGAAAAATTAAAAATGAGCAAATCTTGAGCAAAGCTAGATTATCTATTGCCAAAATACGTCAGTGTTCCCAGGGGCTGGGAAAGCAGGCAGAAGCAAGCCAGTAGACCAAGAGAGGAAGGTTTCTGCTCCTAGGAGTGAGGAGAGATGGAGCTTCCTGAGTACACAGCTTCTGGAGGGGCCAGGTTTGGCCACTAGCAACTTGGAAACTGCTGTTTGCTTCTGCTGTGACGATGGGAATAGCCTACATCTGTATAAACTCGTGGTAAAGAAACAGCTCTGCACCTCTAGGAAAGTCCATATCTCCCTGATAGGTGAAACCCTGCAGAGCCTCAAACACAAGCACACATCTTGCAATACAGGGACGAGAGCCCCTACTTTGAAAGGCGGGCTTCCACTACATTTAGGCGTTACTGCGCTTCGCAGAAGTAACTTCCTAAGGCTAAAGTCATCAAACAGTTCAACTTCCTCTTCAAGCGTTGCCATTACCGTGGTTTCACTTGGCTGTGCATCATGCGCTGCGGAGGGAGGAGGAGAAAAGTTCTGTGAGCGACCGAGGGTGCAGCCTGGCCCCGCGGGGAAGGAAGGCTGGTGGTGCGGGGCCCTGGGAGACGTGGCAGTGCCTGGAGGGGGTGGGGACAAGGCACTGGGCCCACCATTAGCACCATGCTCCTGGGGATCCTCGTGGTGCTCTGCTTCATCCCCACTGCTGATGTAACAGGTAACAACCCCCCCACCCCCATTTCAATCCTTTCCATTATTTTTCCTCACTTTGATCATCAGTGGGGAGAAGGTCTAGTACAGCTTTGAATTAATTTTGCACAAATTATTCTGTGGTTGGATGAAAGGGGAGAGACAGAGCATACTGCTAAGACTGCACATGGACCAACTTGATATAACTAAGAGGTTGATTTTTTTCCTGCCACAAGTATCCCTCCAAGATAAGACTCTTTTAAAGAGCTTTCTTTTAATTTGACTGCTCTTTAGATGCATTTGGAAATTGCATGAATAGATAGAGGGAGCTTTACAAATTTTGCCCACAAGTGCCTTCTCTTGGGAGACAGGGGGGCTGGGCAATGCTGGTGCCAGTGCCTCTCTTCGGCACTCTCTCCACTATCCCCAAGTCTTCTGTGCAAAACTCCAGGTCCCACCATGGCCTGGCTTGGTGTGATGGGCTGCAGAGCTGAGCCCACCCACATCCTCACAGAACTGGCAAATAAAAGGACCAAAAGCAGAGTTGCTTGCTGAGCTCAAAGACGAGAGGATGGGAATTGCTGAGTTTCTGATTGTTGCATTGTTTAGTAGTTTATCGGTACTTATTAGACATCTAGCTTCTTTCTGAAAAGATTTTCAACAACAGAAAACGTCTGTTTGTGATTTTGATATCCTGAGTCTTAGCGAATCCTTCTGAATCTTCAGTTGTTGTGGCTGAAGGTATTTTGTCTTGGGGTCGTCTTGCTGATGCGGTGTTTGTATGTTCAGAGTTAATGTGTCTTTCCAAGGGGTACATCAAAATGCAAAGCAAGGCAAGGGATGATGGCTTTTGCTAGAATAATCTTGAGACAGACAATTTTTCAAACCGTTGGCCTGTGAACTGTATTATTTGGTCCAAATATCAGTGGTTTGTATTTTACAGAGAAGTTACAGACAGGAACATAAATCTCATGTTTATAATTCTGTGTTTGCAATACCAAAATTATTTCCACAGCCGGGCCCCTGGGTTGTCAGAGACAACACTGATTCCAGGAGGGGATAAGTATCAGCAGTGGGTTAATAGTTTTAAAAACATTTCCATGAGGTGTGAACAGCTTTTAAGCAACTCTCTTGAATTGCAACAAAATAAAATACAGTGTGTGGTTATCAGACATAGGGGTTATGCCATGACTCTGTAGACGTTTATACACTTGCTGTGCATGAAGAACTTGAGTTTCTCCAACAGCTTCACTGAGACTGTTCAACTGCTTAAAAAGAAGCACATGAGGTCACTTGCTTCTCAGGCTCACATCTTTTTCCCATATCTTTTCTCCACCTCTTCATTTTGATCGAGATGATTGATGCTTAGTACATGGAAAACATTAAGGCAGGTCAAAAGCCTGCAGGAACGTCCTCAAGCCACAAAGTGTATTGTAGATCTCAGGTATTTTGTTCTGGGGAAGACAACGGAATTTGTTCCATTCTGCTGCTGTTAGACTGTACCAGTGTGTGCTGCAAGTTGAGTTTGAATCATGGAAAGGGACTTAAAAGATCAGTTTGTTCATTTCCCTTCTGCAGAAACACTAACATTTACAAAGTTTGTCCTCCCTGCTCTTTTGTTGGCTAAATAATTTTCTTGCTATGGTCTGTCAGAGAGGCAGCTAGATCAAATTGCCTGTCCTGTGTATTTTGTGAAATAAGTAATACAAGCAGGTTCTCACTGCTGCGTACCACAAATGACCTCATCTTTTCACTCCCCACATAACCTTCTGGCTTATGGTCTCTGGGTGTTAAAATCAACCTCTAACCCACTAAGGTTACCAGAATGCAGAAGATGTATGAGGTAAGGTTAGCCGAGATTAGGATGACATAAACAAGTTCTTGGTTTTTTTAAAAAAAAATAAAATCACAAACAGACAAGAAAAACCTCTAGGTTCACACTGGGTTTAATTAAAACTAGAGTGTCACCTGGGCTTTATGTAGTACTATGCTTCCTAGAGTACTCGCACCAAAGTAGGAAAGATTAGCAGAAAGCAAGTCTAACAGCTAGAAGGGGCAGATCTCTCCAGCTGCACATTGTACATGCAGCTGGGTGACCTAGAACCAAAGCAAAAGAGAAAGACCCTTGTACCTGGGAAAGAAGAGCAAGGGTAATTGAACAACAGAACAGCAGCAGCAAAAATGGAATACCTTTGTTTATAACATAGCTACGTGTCTTCCTGTTTGTGGATTAAATAAACTGCTCTCAGGTTTTCCCCTATCCCCCCCAGGCACTTAACTGGGCCATTTCTTTACTGTGCTTATAGAAACACTAACTTATCCTAGATTCCTTGCTCTGGCAAATAGCTCCTTGAAGTCAACTGGCATGGAAAAGAAAGAAAGGAGAGTACAAAATATTTTTAGCAGAATATTTTTTCCAATAGCTGATGATGATTCATGGAAAGCTCTGGAAAAAAAACCTCAAAATAGTTATTTTCCGTACTTTGTCGTCTCTATTTCACTTTCTTGGCAAATAAGAAAGAAAGAAAAAAAACTTCAATGAAGTTTTGCTAGCATCGGGGGGCCATGATTAGAGTCAGTGTTTAACAGATATTATATATGGATGGCATTTTTTTTCATGACGCAAAAAATCCTCACGTGATTATAACAAATGTCTAGCATGACAAATAAGGTATAAAAAAAAATAACAAACATTTAGAGATCTTACATGCCATTGCATATAAATCCTAAGATCCTGAGAAAGCTTGCAGCCTGTGCACACTGACTTAAATGATTTTACATATTTTAGACTTCACAGCTTTTTGAAACTGTAGACAAAGATTTTTCATAACTACCATTTTCTTGTCTGGGTAAGGCCAAGATAAAGATATTTATTGCTGTGCAGCATGACTGAATACAGCTCTGGAAATGGCAATCATAACCTTATTTAGGGGAGCGTACACTAATGGAAACACATACTAAATGTTTCAGAGTTTCACCTTTTTAACAAACCCAAAGCGACACTTACGAGAAAACCTGTCTCTGTGAAGGCAAAAGCAGCCTCAGCCCATGTTTGCTCAGAATGGTCTAGATCCTACTAAGAATATAATCAAATTCTATTCAGATCACAAGTGAAGTAAGGGACGTTTGGCCTTACTCTGTTTTCCCCATGAAACTAATACACATTTTGGCATGATCGACTTCTCTCAATTCAAAACAAATCCAAGCCCGGAGGAGAAGGATGGCAGTAGGTCCTGTCCAACACGCCTGTGGGGTAAGCCTGCCTTGCCCCTGCTGCCACTGCAGCCCAACCGATTCACACAGTGCTAATTAGTTCCTATCAATGAAAACCAAAAGCTCTCCCTCCATCAATTTAGAGTTGAACTGGTAGAACTGCTTTGCAAAAACGGATTTGGGTGCATAGCTTAAATCATGTAGCAGCAGTCTTCGTTTAATGATCCAAAAACAAACTTCTTCCCACTGCTCAGCCATCCCGCATCCCAACATCAGCAGCATAGGGCTGGGTTGTCAACACCCAGCTGGCATGCTAAGGCAAACAGACCAGATCATAAATCCAAGAGGTGGAAATAAAATGAAGAAATGTATTTTTTTAGGTGGATGTATCAAGAGAGATTGGTTGCCAATTAGCACAATATGATGGTAGAGACATAAATAGTCCAAAGCTGTAGTTAAATAGTGGAGTCGAAGGCATGAAAATATGTATAAACATCAGGAATCCCAATTAGCTGACAAGAGCAAAAGGTGGGAGTAAGTCATCGGAGTCTGCAGATGAGTCTAAATAACATCAGAAGGTGGTCTCTCAGTGGTGAGATATTCAGTGTTCTTTGTCTTTCCTCTGGCCATAGCAAAAATCTGATCAGGCTGACCAATAAACATCCACCAGTGTTCTGTGAGTGCTTGCAGCGAAAACCAGGCAAGCGTTTTTCTGAAGTGTAATGCCTCTGCAAGCATCTGTTCCAGGATGCCTATTTTGGTTGTAAACTCTGAGACAGAAAAAGTCTCTTCTGAAGGTGTATTTAGTCCCTGTAACAATGGGGGTTGTAGTGGAGGGCACTACTGCAGTGCAAATCAGAAGAATAACTCTCTCTCAAGTGAGATTTATAGAATTCTGCTGTGCTAAAGGTAGAACAATTCTACCACAGACTTGTACATTGCCACTTAGGTCAACGATCAATTTTCTGGCCAACAAAAGTATGATCAAATACCTTGTCTAAAGGGGTAGAATCCAAACCTCACCCCTTACTAGAATGCCTTATAAGCCTATGCAAGAGCTTTTGTCGGAAAATGCTGATTCGATGAAACTGAAATGTTTTGCTGAAATGAATTCATTTTGATGAAATTCCCCACAGGCGGCACCTTGAGTAGAAACCTGCCTTGTCTCTTATTAATCTGCTGCTCAGGTCCAGGATTCCAAGATCCATGTCTCTTTCTGTTGGAAAGCCTGGAAATGCTCATCCTTCCTCAAAACAAAAAGTTTCACAGTGTTTGAGTTCCTTGCAAACATGGGATTTCAGAGCTGTGACGAGCTCTGCTCCACCTGCCCTCCGAACTGTTGAACAAAGAGACACAAGGAGGATGGACTACGATCTTGCTTTGTGAAAGACGAGGCAGTAGAGCATTCCCTGTCTCATGTCTTCCTGCCCTCATGAGTAGAAAGGGCTGGTAAACAAGACTTTCAGTGAGAAAATGAACAAGTTTCATGGGTTGGGCTAGTAACTGGAGAACCTGCTAGCTGTGGGTTGTTTTTACTGCCCACACCCTACCAGTAGTCCTGGCCATCTCATGCATCTCTGTGTTTGCTTTACTCCCTGGATCACGTTTATCCCACAGAAGCATTCTACTCAAGAGGCTGGAGTACTCCATCTTCTCCTGCATGTGTGAACACACTGAACCATTTGGTCCTAAATAATGTCGAATACAGTGAAATACCTGTTTTCTGGGCATTTCTGTCCTCCTTCCCACTCCATTTCCCTTACTAGTCTCGTCATGTGGCTTAAGCAGAAAGAATATAGGTTTTGCAGCAGATTTTGACAAAGAGATACAATTGTAATTCTCACAACCACAGCAATTCTCAGGGATCTATAAAAGACTACTAACACCTCATATAAGCTGAGCTTGCATGAAGACTTACGCAGTCATATACAGACACAAAAGGCCTGTCCTTAGTTCCAGCAAGTTTCTAGCTTAAAAGCCAAAACTCTCTTCCTCTTACTTACAGGTCATCATTTGAAAAGGAGGCCCTCATTTGTACAAGATGATTTTTCTTGGAAGAAGTTGTCTTTCTGCATAGTCTTTGCAGTGTTTCATTGTTTGGCAGATGGTAGCACAGAGGTCTACATGTCAGAAAACATTTCCTGTTTATGTATCAGTCTGGTCAATTCAAATTGAATCATACCTTCATGTGACGTGTTTTTTTGCAGGCCATTCAAGTGCTAAGTGCTTATGCAGTGTCAAATTAGTCAGCTCCTGAGTCCTTTGAGAGATAAAGAATCTACTACGGCTGCTAGCTAGAGAAATGATTTATTTTACATTAAAATGATAGCAGTTCATGCTTTTAGCGCTCATTGTCCGAGGTCCAAACCCTTGAAATGGTTCAGCAAATTCCACCTGCAAACTCTTCAAGTCTGTCCATGGATTAAAAAACAAATGTATAAATAACATTCTCTTATCTGACTGCTAAAGTAAGCATTTAATTCACAGTATTTTCATGTGAAAATTCTCATGATTTCCCATTTCCCATAATATCCCCTGGGAATTTGCTTGCTAAGGAAAAGATAGACTAAGGTGGCCTTAGACACACACACACACATGCACGCACGCACACATGCGCGCGCGCGCAGACACACACACACGTGTGTGCACACACACACAGCAGCCTTCTGAACCCTGATGTTAAATCTTAATCACATGAGCCACTTTCTGTACTAGTGTTCTAACTCTGAAGAAAAACACTCTTGACCTCACAGTCTCCCCTAGTGACTATATAATTATCTATATAGAGGGGTATTACTGCAACAAGAGCTCCTGTGAGAAACTGCAGCTTGGTAGTTCCGTACTCCCTAGGAGGGAGTGTCAGCAGGGGAGAGGAGGTGTGGAGAAGAGCTGCACAGGAGGATGTGTGGTTCTGAAGTCTCATACTGTATTTCATAAACAAGTGTTTTTCTCACTTTTTCCCCTCTCCTCCAGAAAACAAGATCTTAGTGGCTCAGCGTCCTTTGCTCACTGTAGCTAACAAAACTGCAACTCTAGTCTGCAACTACACGTACAATGGAACAGGGAAGGAATTTCGAGCTTCACTGCACAAAGGAACAGACAGTGCAGTTGAAGTTTGCTTTATTTCATGGAACACGACCAGAAATAGCAGTAATTCAAATAAAGAATTCGACTGCCAGGGAAAACATGATAAAGATAAAGTCATCTTCAATCTTCGCAATATGAGTGCCAGCCAAACTGACATCTACTTCTGCAAAATTGAGGCCATGTATCCACCTCCATATGTCTGCAATGAGAAGAGCAATGGGACTGTCATTCATGTGAAAGGTAAGCTGGGAAAACTCTGTAGGCCAGTATCCTCCCTATACACACTCCCTACATGATGGCTTGAGGCAGTTTATTACCTTAAAAAAAAAATTTTAAAAAAAAAAAGAATTGCTTGGTAAAA